AACAGCCACAGACAGCCAGGTGGGCTGTGATGTGCTGGGAAAAGATAAAATTGTCAACTAAAGATGAGTAAGTCTGAACAGGTAAGCCCGTGTTTACCTTGCTTATTGGATACTCAGTGTTTATGTGTCAGGGTAGGGACAGTTAGCAATTGAGAGAGCCAGGTTGAGATCTAGCTCATGGAGTCTCTGAGAGGAATCAGGTACGCATGTACATTAGGTAAAAAGGACAATCAATGGAATTGACCAAGACAAGGAAATTGGGGACATTGTCATTCAAAGCAACTGAAGGTAAACACATTCGCTTGGATTGATAACAGAACAGGAATCAGCTTGCTGGAGAGGACTACACGTAGAGTGGAGAATAACTCATTGCCATTGAGTGGATGCCAACTCATGGTAACCCTATAGGGCAGGATAGACCTGCCCCTGTGACTTTCTGAGACTAACTCTTTACAGGAATACAAAGCCTCGTCTTTGTCTCAAGGAGCGGCTGGTGGTTTTGAACTGCTCACCTTTCAACTACTATACCACCATGCTCCTAGGATGGAGAATAAGTTGTTAACGTTGATGGCCTGGTTTTTGGATAAGGAAAGGAGACTTCTAAGTGCTGGGCGGGAAGCATGGCTGGAGAGAGTGGTTCGTTTACACATGTATGTGATATCATGAGGATATCATGACATCCTTCATAGCTCTCTGGGGATCTTTGACTATGAATCTACCATTTCATTTCATTATCCCGAGAGTTTAAATTTCCACACTGCAGCAAAAACGGCCTAACTCACTCTTCAGAAACATGAAGGGGCGGCTGTGGGGCTTCTATTCTGCACCTTAGAGGTGAGCAAGCCGCATGTAGACTAGCGGGAAATTAGGCCAAGCTCCCCCGCTGAGGTGTACTGAGAGTGGCTGCTCTGACTTCTTCAGAAGGCAAGGCAACATCCAGGTCCCGGCCTGCACTGGGGCCTCCCAGCACTTTGGAGAAAGGCCATCGTAAAAGAGGAAGCGAAAGGAAGGGAAGGTGTTCTGCGGTAGCAGTTCTGAATTGACTTTGTCCAGAGAGGGTCACTCCTAACCAACGTGAATGGAGCTGAGCGTGAGACCTGCGAGAGGGAAGAGCAGGCTCACAGAGGGAGAAGGCCCAGGGCAGGGTGGAGAGGGACAGGGCCGGCCTGCCCACACCTCTGTTTCTAGCGCATGAGCTTCTGATCAGTTCACCACCTTTTCCTCTCTTCCTGTTGCCGGACTTTGCAGGGCAGTTCACGAGCTCAGGCAGAGTTTGCCAATGGTGGCTTTGCCTCTCCACGCCAGCCCTTTCTGAACACAGGGGGGTCCTGTGGAGTGAAACATCACCTCTTGATTCCCTTATTACTTGAAGGGAGTTTGGTTCATCCCTCCACCCCAGGATGCCTCTGTCCTTTGGTCTCCTTTCCCCTGAATCGCAGAAGGGACTCGTTGCTTGTGAGGAGACTGGCTCAGAGGGAGGCTAAGCAGAAGCTCAAGAGGACAGAGCTTAAGGATGCAGCCGTCTTCATTCTTAGAGAAAAGGAAAGGAAGGCTCACAGGTTAAGTAACTCACCTGGCACACTGCTAGTAAGAACTAGAACCAGAATTTAAACACCAAGCTGAGGGAGTGCTAAGAAGGTTCTCTTTCAACCGTCAGCTGGGTCAAAGGGCACTGCC